TATATATATATATATATAGATTGAGAAAATTAACCGAATGTAATACACGTAAGAAATATGAATAAGTTGTATCAAATGATTGATGATGAAAAATAAATTATGAGTATGAAAATAACATATTCAATGTTAGAAGAATATTTTAATGTATCAAAGTATCAACTTGACCAACTCGTACGGTTTGGGTTGGGTTGCATTTTGGTTTAGGTTGAGTTAAGATTTTTAAAATCGCAAACATTGAGTGGAATTGTTCAAATGTCTTCAACTTGATCAACCCAACCCATGAGCGCTATTAACGTCAGGACATGATTGAATATGACATAACTGGTTAAACGACCAATTTATTACTAGTGATATATTTAGTGTTTTCTATTACCAAATAATCAATTATTTGTAAGCAATATATTTGCAGTCTTGCATATGTAAACAAAATTAAAAACAAGTAAACAGCAGGTCCATGTAGACAACAAGAAGAAACCGGTTTATGTAGACGACGACAACAACAACAACAACAAGAAATTACAGAGGAAGAATCGATTGTAGACAAGGAGAGAGTCGATTACTTGTGGAAGTCAACAAGAGACGTCGATCTGATGAGAGAATCGATGGCTATGGAGGAGTCGATCTGATAAACAGCAGGTCCAACGATGTGTGAATTTATGCGTGTTTAAATTTAGTTTCTTTAAGGGTATTTTGGTACAAGTGAGGTTGTTCCATCTTGTTCTATGGGATATAATGGGACACATGCTTGTTATGGTTAGTCCATGTCTGATCCACGTAAAGAAAATAATAATATTATTTTTCTATATAAATAAATATGTATCTATATAGATTTTTATAAATAAAAATATAAATAATATCAATTTAAAATGACGAGTGAATTATTTTTGAAAACGGTAAAAAAAGCTTAAGAGATATGTTGTTTTTGTTAACTTAGACATCCAACCTGCTATGCGAGCCGATCGATCTCAAAACGATAACCTATTTTGTGGGTAGCTTGAAGTCATCGTATTTAAACCTTAATAACTACAAGAGAATTTATATTTATTTTTGGATTCAAACCTGAGATCTTCAAACACTTTTGACTTTTTGATCACAATAGATGTGTTTATTAACATGAGGATATGATTATGTAATCAAGTTGTGAGGTCAGCTAATCATAATGAATGTTGGGTCCACATGAAAATTAAGAAACCACTAATCTAATCTTGATTCTTGATGTTACATGCTAAAATTTGTAGTAGAATAAATTATATTAAAAAATAACGTATTTTAATTTAATTTAATTTTTATGTTAGGTAATATATTTTTAAAATTTTTATTTTGATATTTAAGATGTAAAATTTTAAACATTTAAGTTTCATGTTAACCGGTTGAAGCATGGTTTTAGGTTATGGGTACTTAAATGTTTAAAACTTTACATCAACATGGTAATCGGTTAATACTTCAACCGGTTACCCGGATACTTAAATGTTTAAACCTTCATATTTTAGGTACCAAAATAAAAGTTTTAGAAATACGTTACTTAAAATAGGAATCAAATTAAAGTATATTACTTTTTCATACAATTTATCGTTTTATTATTTTAATCCTCAATACTTAAAAATAATGACGAAAAGTGAAATTTCAAAACCACATCAACAAAATCCAAAAAAAAAAAAAAAACGTAGAGGTTGTTTGTTTATCTCTTAATAGTTTCATTAAGAGACAACCTCTGAATCATTAAGAGATGAATTTTGTTTGGTAAAAAAAATATGTGCCTCTTAACTATTAAGAACCCTAATTTTATTGTACACAATTAGCAAATAATTATATTTCATTTTGTATTATATTATGAGAACCTATTAATCATTCTGTACCAAATTATTCAACAAATGTCAAAAAGTTCCATAATATTAACTTTTCTTTTACTTTACTCCCTTTTCTCCTCAAATTAGAAAAACACAGAAATATATTTGAGATTGCTTATTTGAAACAATTTATATTTTTTTACAAAAATTCTTATCAAATTATTATAAGTTAGAATAATTTAACTTCATCAAAAAAAATTTATTTCAAAAACTCAAAAGCATTTATTACCAATACCATATCATTAATTTATTTTTACAAACAATACCAAAACACGTGTAAAATTCCACAACATCCATTTTCCCTCCATTTCCTATCGTACTAAAAAGTTTATAGAACACAGTGTAACAGTCGTCCATTCCTCTCCGGCAACACCTCATCGGAAAAATACAGGTCGTATTCTCTTCTCCGATCCACCTAACTTCTGCAAACTGTTCAAACATTCTTCTTCTGGTTTATATTATGTTCTCAAAAGTGTTGTTCATTGTTTCCACGTCAATTTTGAAACTAATCATTTGCACGGATTCGATAACCTTTCCTGATTTGGTTATTAGAATGGATTTTAAAGCCAGATCTTATAGCTTTGCTTTTAATTGTAGTTCTAAGTATTAACTGTAGTTTGAATAGTTATATACTTATGTATTTGTTCTAAAAAAATCCGCCAAGCACATTGAACTGCGTAACAAGCAATTGAAGATAATAAGGTTGGTGTTCGAATTGCAGTTAATGTTAATACTTCATCGAAACGGATCAGGTGCTTTTTTTGCTATTTCTTTTGAGAACTGAGGAAGTAAGTAGTTTGCGAGATGTTGTTGTATTGCTGATTCAGGAGGACCAAATATTTTGTTCATTATCTGTTAGGTTAAATTTTCTGAAAACATCTTATTAATCTAACAGTTTCTCCAGACCAGGATCAGAAGACGCGAAATCGAAGTGGGTATGTCGCTTTGATCTTCTTCCCTTCTCTCAATTTTGCATATACGTGTGCATAAATTCATCTGTGTGTGTGTGTGTGTATTTGATTCGGTGGAGTTGAATCCTTATATGGTGGGTGTCTAACAAAATCGCCTGTTACATGTTCGGTAAAATTCCAGTTAGGTATTCATAAGAACATATGAAAATTATCTAGTAACTGAATGTGATTGGATCAATTATGGGAAGCGAGCGTCTGAACCTTTCTTTATTGTCCATCCATATGCGTACTAGTCTCTAGTTTTACAATGATTATATTATGCAGTAGTGTACCTACTATTGGAGGTTAAGAGGGTTCAATTTCAAGTCCTTGAAATCCATTATTTAGGTTGTTTCTCACTCTCCAATTTCGGATGTAGATGTGGAATGCTATAATTTTTGTAACTTCTTGATTCTTGTAAATTATATATGGAAGTTCTTTTAAGTGCTTTTAGTGGTTGGCGCCTTCTTAGTTATTTTATGGCTGTTTCAAACTATTAGCCTTCCACTTCTAATTCATCTCTTAACAATGTTGGGCTAGTATTTGTGTTGGCAAATTGTGAGCATATGTGGATTGTATGGGTTGAATACATAATGATTTTTGTGTTGGTTATTTTGTTATTCAAATTTTCTTGATAGCACGCATAATAAAAGGCAAGATGGTTTTATGCTTTCCCTTGACATGTCAGAAATTGTGGATGACTATGGCTTTGTTCCTTGGTGGTTCATCCCTATTTGGTGTTGGTCATTATCTCCTGTTACATGTTGCTCCTCAACAAGCTTGAATATAGGCTTGAAATGATTATGTCAGGGAAAGGTTGAGAAAGAAATATGGATATGGCAAGTTCATTACCGCGCCAAAAAAGATTAGGTTCACTTGATTGTTGCTGCTGTAGGTATGTTCTACATCCATCGAATATAACCTTTGATGTCTCAGATGAAATTCATATGAGCTTGTTATAATTTTGTCCCTTTTTATGGATTCTTTTTCAACGTGCCATGACCCACATGTATAGGAAGATTAAAGTTTAAATTAACTCCATATTGAGTCTGTTTTGTATTACTTCTACATGCATATTAAATGGCTGTCTGTCTAATCTGGAAACAAAAATAAGGGCATGTGTGGTAAAGCATGATTTATTGTTTTATGGAGAAGAGGTCTATATGATTTAGAGGATCTGTTTGGATCAAGTCTTGAATGAAAAATGACCATTAGTTGAAAAATGCATCGCTTCCTAGTTCCTATGTTGAAATGATCATAAAGGATCATTGAGCTTTCGTCAAAACCAATTGGCAATGACAAGTCATCCTTGCATATACATATAATCGAACCTATATATATATATATGTATATATATGTGTATATATATATGTGTATATATATATATGTGTATGTATATATATATATATACACACATATATATATATACACATATATATATATATACACATATATATATACACATATATATACATATATATTACATATATATATATATATATATATATAGGTTCGATTACACACGGGATAATTTGAAAAAAGTAAATCATGTCAGAAACTTATCTTACAGATATGAATGATCATAGAATACAACACGGGCTCTGTATATGAGACACCTAACTCTTGAGTAAGAGCTTTGTCTCTTGATGTCTTCTACATGAGAGCTCTTGGTCCAACCCCCTTCAAAAGACTAAGTCCTAAGGACTATACTAAGAGGCTCTGCATGTACAGTAAGAGCTCTGCCTGTACAGTAAGAGCTCTTACTGTACATGAGTTTATTTTGATGCGGAGTGCACACTTGTACTTTATTTTTTAAAATTGTTTCTAGATACATGTTTA